GATAACTTCTCGACAGCTAAATTTTAATAATCCCCTAGCACTCCAGTAAGAGAATCAAAGTATAAACTAGGTCATCCTGTGAAATCTCCCAAGGCCCACAACCAGAGTGTAATCTCAGGATTAAAACCTGCTACAAGCCCCAGAGAGCTTGCTGCCTCCATAATAAGCACTAGTGCACACAAGAAGCAACAAAAGTCTGACCCATATTAATTGTGTTGTTCAAAACATTTCAGGACAAACACAGTAAACACTTCTCTCTAGCCTACCAAACCCAGATATTCCAGTTAGCAAAAACAACTCCTATCACATCAGCCTCACAGTTTCTCCCCTTCTCCTCCTACCTGGTAGACAAAGCAAATAGTAGGTGCTTGGCAACCATATAGGAACTTGACATCAATGACATGCAGCTCCTCCAGGCGGATGTTGAAGGCCTTGAGTTCTTTATTATCGCGATCTAGTGGAATAACCTTGAAAAGGCCATCATAGAGACGCAGGCCAATCATCCGGCACTCAGGGTCAATGATGCCAATAATACCGGTCTCCGAGGGGCGGCCAATGCGGTCCTGAGAAACAAAATTGGGATTAGGGAAGAACCTCAACATCCACAGAGCAACAGAGGACACTGGGCACCACTTGCAAAGAAAAACTTTAGGAGAGGAAGTAAAACTAACGGATCTATTTGATAGGCCAAATAGTTGGAGCCCCAATGTCAGTGCATGTCTTTTTCACGAAACACTGAATCTCAATGAATTATTGCTCTGTCCCTTGGGCCTTGAATGAACCACAGGAGTCTTTTCTCCAAAAAGCTCAAACCCATAGTGTCTTCTCCTCGTTTCTCTGATCAAACAGCGAGCTGCCCCCAGCATTTTAATTTTTTTCCATGAATCATGACAGTCCTACTTAGAAAACTTTTGTCGGCCTAAAGCAGCCACCTCACCTGGACATTGCCATGGGCTCGTGTAATGATGTCAATGCTCTCGCCACTCTGCTTATACTCCAGGATGCAGGCATTGTACTTCGCTGTCAAGATAAACAGCAGGTCCTTGCTCTCCCCCTGGAAACCAATGTTATGCTATCAAAAGAGATTCTTTTTAAAACAGGAACAACCTGTCTAGTCTTTAAGCACACCAAATTCTTTAAGAATTTTCCAAATTCTTCTCTCCCTAAAGAGAAAATACATGATGAGCTTGTAACCCACACTAGGTACACATACACCCTAAGGGCACGTACAAAAAGCCAGAACTGAAGCGGGTAAACATCTATTTCTCACTTTCATTATTCTCCATCTCTCTGTTCTATATACAAAGTCTTCATCTATTTCAATCTCAAGCTAATCTCAATCATCCCATTCAAATTCTGAAACGTGAATGTAATGCCTCCTCCACTCCTCTCCAAGTATTTGAAGAAAGAGAAAAAAAAATGTGGGAATAACAACAGAAGCTAAAATGGATCAACAAAGTCTTACTTATTTAACACAGACTCCAAAAAATTACTGTTTTGTTCAAAGGGTTATAATTAAAATTTTGAACCCACTGCTTTCTTGCCAGATTCAGTTAAGACATCATAAAGGAATGTAGTGGTGATTTGGGTGAATACATTTGCACTAAAATAATAAAAATACTGATGGTAATTTTTTGTTGTTGTTGTTGTTTGGTTCTTTTTTTTTCTTTTTTTTTGAGACGGAGTCTCGTTCTGTCACCCTGGCTGGAGTGCAATGGGCACCATCTCCGCTCACTGCAACCTCCGCCTCCTGGGTTCAAGCAATTCTCGTGGCTCAGCCTGCCAAGTAGCTGGGATTACAGGCGCATGCCACCACATCTGGCTAACTTTTGTATTTTTAGTAGAGACAGGGTTTCACCATGTTGGCCAGGCTGGTCTCGAACTCCTGACCTCAGGTGATCCAACCACCTTGGCCTCCCAAAGTGCTGGGGTTACAGGTGTGAGCCACCACAACCAGCCTGGTAATTGTTAACATAACTTTAAATGCTTGCTATATTATAGGCCCTGTGTTACCGAATCATTTCATCTTCAAAATAATCCAGGGGACTTGATCTGAAAGGTGCCTCAAGTGACACCTAAAGTCAGAATTAACAAGGAATGAAGCCAGGACTGCCCCACTCTGTAACCTATCCTCTGAAACAAACTGCTTTAATTTCTGTCTCCTAAAGAAGTCAACTTCATAAATGTTTCCCTAACAAATCTCTCCTTTTACTTCTAGAAAGCTTGGTCAAGAGTACATACTGAAATTTGCCATCCAAAGAAAGAAAAAAGAGAAGAGAGTTTCTCTCCTAAGGTATATTCCACCCATCTCAAGAATTCGCAAAACAACGTAACACAGCCCAGACACGGTGGCGCATGCCTACAATCCCTCAGCTACTCTACTCCAGAGGCTGAAGCGGAGGGATTGCTTGAGCCCAGGAGTTCAAGACATCCTGGGCAACACTGCGAGACACCCGTTTCAAAGAAAATAAATAAACAAAAATAACATAAAACAACCTACAACCAACAGTTCTCCCTCCACTGCTTGTCCCAACTGCAACACTTACCTTGGGCCTGAAAAGCTCCATGACCGCAATCTTCCCGTACATGCCCACCTCCTTGACGGGCCGAAGCCCCTCGGCAGTGACCACATAGATCTCTAATCTCGTGTTTTTGGCAATCAACAGGTTTAAGTCTTCGGCTGAAGTAAAGTGTCCTGAAAGAACAGACCCTCTAACTTTTGAACTCAGGGGAAGGGCCTCCCATCCCTTCAAAATAATCCTATCACTTACGCCTAAATACCTCCAAAATTCTCATTTACTTCACATACTTCTCCAACTCCCTCCAGGTACTACTCCCCTTCTTATTATACCCGGCACCTCAAAGAGTCTCAGTTCATGCATTCAACAAAGCTACTTTCCTAATCAGACTAAGAAAACTGGACTGGACCTAAGAGCCGTGTGTCCTCCAACTGACAATGACTTCGTAATCCCTTCTCATGGCTCTCGTCCCTCAAATTTTACTCTTCCTATTACAGTTACAGTGGCAGGCTCTAATTGAGAACGCCGGAGAAACTGTTCATTTCTTCCAGGCTTCATCTAAAGTCTCACAAAACTTTTATCTGACAGACCAAGTCAAATGAGAAGTCCCCGAGCTTTACATGAAAACACTGTTTTGTCCACACTCCCTGCCCTCCTGGTAGTCTACCAATACCCCCATCCACACTCAGCTACCTCCAACTCTGAAAAACAGTTTTGTTTTGGAATCGTGATTAGGGTGTATATAAACATGCAAGCTTGGGGTCTGCATATTCAGCTGAGAATGTGGGTTAAGAGGACTCTTCCCGGGTTCTGGTCTTCGGTGTCCATAACAGTCCAAGCGCATCGTCAATAGGGAAAACCCAGCCCTGGGCCAGGCAAACCAAACCCTCTTCTCCAGCACGGCCCTCATGTAAACAACCGCCCCAGGCAAAGGGGGTAGCCTGAAGAGGGCTCCTCTCCCTCTGTGGGATAATGCGGGCATTCCTCACATCCCTCCACCTCCTGGGCCCCCCAGACTTCCCCACAGGAAAATCCTGACCCCAAAGTCGCCATTACCACCTCCCCCTTTCCCGGCCACAGGAGGCCAATCTTCCGGCCCAAACAACACCGCACAACCAACTCACACTCCTCTGTCTCACTGGGCCCGCCCTGTCCTCGAGGCCGAGTGACCTCCCCAGGACGAAAGGGGACCCTCGAGAGCGGCTTCCAACCCCCAAAAAGCGCGTACTGGGACGGCTCTTTCGAGGTCGCGGGGTTGGTGAGGTTCCTCGGCCGCCAGGGCCTTCCATTAGCCGAGCCGACTCCTGCCCGGCCGCCCCGGGGGCCGCGGGCCTCCCTAGGCCGCGGCTCCCCACAGCTCCCTCCCTCGCCGGGGTCTCCGGCCCCGGCAGCCTCACCGGTCACGCAGCCGTTCACGGCGGTGGGCTTCTGGGCCGTTACCACGTAGTTGTACGACATGTCTAGGCTTAGAGCGGCCCGTCGGGACGCAAGCGCGACACTAGAGAGACGGACACAAGCGAGAAGACAGGTGGCCCCCAACAGCGCGCAGCGAACTCCACTGCCGCTGCCTCCGCCCCAGAGACACGTTGCAGGCCAGAGCGGCCGGGACGCGGGGCATCACGGGACGGCCTCACCTGGCCTCTTGGAGGACTCCCGAAGCCCGAGGCCGCCAACCGAAGGAAACCCCGCCCCCGGAGGCGCAGCCTCGCCTCTTTCCGCCAGCGACCGCAGGACCCGGATGAGAGCTCACCACTGGGGGTCCCCGGGAAGTCGCGGAGCCTTCGGAGGTTGCAGATGCGGCTGTGAGCTGGCGGGGGAGGTGCGCCAGTGTCCTCGGAGCTCGCCCGCGGACTCCCCACCCCGTTCCGCGCCCTTTGCCCTTCCCCGCATCCAGTCCTCTTCCTTCCGTTGCTCCAGGAGCCCTCGGGGCTGTTCCTCCTTTTGGAACGGGAAGGACTGCTGAGGCCTAGAGAGGGAAGGGAGACGACCGCTATTCGTGCACATCCCAGACTAGAACCTTGCCTGCGTTCCTTTCACTCTCTGAGTTCCTCCAGATCCAGCTGGTGCCCTCGCCTGACGTTAGAACGACCACCGGCTCACCTCCTCCCTTTTGCGCGTTGTTTCTTCAGACTTCGAAGGGCCCACTGGTCTGCTTGCCCAACGTGATTGGTGCCCCTATTACTCTACAAATTCGAACCTCAAACACAAAACCAACATTTCTCCGTAGGGAACCTTAATGAGCCAGGAGGGCAGTCAGCCCTGCCGCCTCCAGGGTGCCCCACATCAAACAGGCTCCCCGGGAACAAAAGGAGAACCACATGGCTTTGCACACTCGCAGAATGCCAGAGAGGAGCCAACCCCCATTTTACAGATGGGGAAGCTGAGGCTTAGGGAGGAATTGGTTTACCTAAGACCCTCCCCCCAACCCCAAGTAGGCTGAGTTAGAGCTATGTTGATTCTTCCTATTGTGCACCCACACAGAGGCCAACACGCGGCTGAACCAGGCTGAACTGAGGAAAGCTAGAACGTCATCGTGGTTTACGTCTTGCCCTTGCCACAGCAGAGACTCTGCCTGACTTTGGAGGCACGGAATTATCAGTAGTAAACACACTCTCCTGGTAGGAAAACTAGACATGGATTTAGATCCTGGCTCCTACCTGTATGACCTTGGACAAGTCCCTAGAGCTCTCTGAGTCTGTTTCCCAGAAGTAAAATGGGTCACAAACCTGGCTAGCTCCCCCCATTCCCTGCCCTTTTGGTGCCAAGGACAGTGAGGGCAAGCGTGTGAAGAGCTTTGTTAACTTTTTCACTGCATGTGATGCCCGTGTAAAAGATAGTTATTCTGAGGATCACTGTTCTTTAGTGATGAAGTGGGTGCTGTTCCTGGGCATAAAGGCAGCCCTGTGCTTGACATGGATTGATCTGTCTTCTGGCAGCCAAGTGCAGGCGTGAACCTTGGTCAACCCCACACTCTTCTCCATCCGTAGCCCACGTACTAGAGTTTGGACTTGGACCGAAGTCTGGGGCAGCTCCCTAATTACTAGGGCGCTTAAGCGTGATTGTGCTAGTCGGCTGTGAGTGCCTTCTGCAGCTTGTATCATTACCCACTCCTGCAGGTGCTGCTGCTGCCTCCACTGTACTCAGACCCAGGTAGCACAGGATTGTCCATCCTCCAGCAGCTCAGCGCAACGGTGTGAACTCAGCCTGTTTCAGAGCCTCCCCACCATGGTGAGTCATACAGGGCCGGGGCAGGGGAATGGCAGCATGGTCTCAAAGCAGGATCCCGGCCTTGGGCATGCTAGAGCTGCTTACACCTTGACTGAGAGATGCTCCTGCCTCCTGAGGCTCACGGGTGAAGAGAGAGGGTCATCGTCTCTCCCAGGGCCTGATCCCTGCTTTTCTTCATTTTCTGGAGGCCACTGGTCCCAGCCAGGCCTGGGGCTGCAGCCTCTTGAGTCCCTTCAGAGCCGTTGTGCCTCCTATCTGGGTCTTGAATTCAAAGTGAAACAGTAACAGTTACCTGCTCTGTAATAGATACTGTACCAGTCACAGAAGGAACCATGAAGAATGATCATGTGACTGTTCCTAACCTTGGGGCGTATGTGGGCCGGTCTGGAGCTGGGATCTACAGTGTGGGAGGCTGGCCATGTCCCTGGGCTTTGCTCCAGGCCCACTGATTTGAATCAAAACAAGCCTTGAACATATCTGGATTCAAATTTCAGCCTGCCACTGACCAGCTGCATGACCTTTTGCAGAAGATTTGACCTCTCTGAGCCTCTTTTTCTTCATCTGCATTACAAGGCAAATTAAGGCCTACCTCTAGTGGTTGTGTGGTGGTGATCAAGCAGAGTCCTGGAGGCCTCACCTGACTTCCTTTCCTTTTCCATCCTCTCAGGCCACTGAAACCAGGGATAGCACTGGTCCCTAAACCCTCCTCTGGCTCTGGCAGAGGGATTGTTGAAAATCTCAGGCAAGACAGATTATCAAGATGGAGAGCAGGCCACTTTCTTGGAGGGTAGTGGTGCTGGAGGCTGAGCTTGGAGTGAGGCCAACTCACAACTTTATTGTATGTTCCAGTCCCTGATAGGCTCTGAGAGCCACAAGCCCATGCCCTTTCTAGGGCAACCTCTGTCACCCTCCACCTCCCTCCAATCCCTCGAGAAAGCAGCATGATATGGCCAAAAGGGAACCAGCTTTGGAGCCAGGCAGACCTGGACACCTGCTGGCTGTGTGACCTTGGGCAAAATCGTTTAACTGTGCCTCAGTTTCCTCACTGGGCTCATCTTTCCTCCATAGGGTTATTGGGAAGTTTGGTTTTTTTTTTTTTTGAGATGCAGTTTTGCTCTTGTTGCCCAGGCTGGAGTGCAATGGTGCAGTCTCAGCTCACCGCAAACTCTGCCTCCCAGGTTCAAGTGATTCTCCTGCCTCAGCCTCCCGAGTTGCTGGAATTACAGGCATGCACCACCACGCCCAGCTAACTTTGTATTTTTTAGTGGAAATGAGGTTTCTCCATATTGGGCAGGCTGGTCTTGAACTCCCAACCTCAGGTAATCCGCCCACCTCGGCCTTCCAAAGTGCTGGGATTACAGGCATGAGCTACCACACCCGGCTTGTTGGGAAGATTAAATGAGACATGCTCAAAAACAGTTAGAACTGAGCCTGGTGCTTAGTCACTGCTCGGCAAATGGAACCAATCTTATTCTTCTTGCTCCCTACAGACCTAGGCTACTCTGAAGCAGGTGGCTTAGCCCTGGCCCTGGCTGGGTGCAGGACAGGTTGGCAGGGAGGCAGCAGAGCCAAATTTTGTACAAAGGAGCTGGTGCTAGCCGGGTCAGGAAGAAGCCACAGCCAGAAGTTCACCTTGCCAGGACCTGGCTCAGCTGCAGGTTCCCACTGGGCCACCAGGTGGCGGTGGGAACCCAGCCCTCTGAGTCCAGGTTGCGCCCCAGTCTCTGTCTTCAGGACAAAACCAGGGGCTGCAGCCCTTGTTCAGCCCTTGTTCAGGCTTTTCACAGCCTGTTTGAAAAGGGGAGTCGCTTCCTGTGATTGAGTTTCCACTATATCACGGGCATATACTCTGTTCTAGTAAATCCCTATTTTAGAGAGGAAGAATTATAGCTCCCAACAATGATGTTATCTTCCCTGAGTTCCTGCAGCTAATCAGAGGCAGAAGTGGGATTTGAACCCAAGTCCCTGTAACAGCAGAGCTCAAGCCACGCTCCATTCTGGCCCCCACGCTACTCACTTCTATCTGCACCCCGTATCCACTTAGTCAAGCCTGGCGGTGCTGCTCTGCAACCCCTCCTGAGGCTGCCTGTGGCCAGCCCTCTCCTCCTCATCCCTCCCTGCTGGTCAACCATGCTTCCTGGCACCACCACACTATTCACTCATCCAGGCCTTGGCTTATGCTCCCCCTCTGGCTGGAAGAGCCTCCCTTTTCCCTCCCCCCATGCCTCCTGCCCCCTTTTGCCTACCCCGGTCCTGCTTATCCTTCACAGAGACCTCCAGGCCCCTCAGGAGGCTGCGGCCCCTCCTCCATGCTCCCATGGTGCACGTCCACTCCTCGAGTAGCGGTGCCCACCACACATGGTTGTGACCTCTGCTGTGTTTCCCCTGAGGGCAGGAACAGCATTGTTATCTCTTTTTTTATTTCTGAGATGGAGTCTCACTCTGTCACCCAGGCTGGAGTGCAGTGGCACGATGACAGCTCACTGCAGCCATGACCTCCCAGGTTCAAGCGATCCTCCCACCTCAGCCTTCCCAGTAGTGGGACTCTAGGCATGCACCACTATGCCTGGATCATTTTTCATATTTTTTGTAGAGGTGGAGTCTCATCATGTTGCCTAGGCCAGTCTCAAAGTCTTGGGCTCAAGCGATCTGCCTGCCTCAGCCTCCCAAAGTGCTGGGATTACAGGCATGAGCCACCGCACCTGGGCTGTTATCTCTACACACTGTCTAGCACTGGGCCTGGCATGCCAACAGGCTGGGGAAATGTTTTTCCCACATTGGAGCACCAGGGAGCAGCGGTGGCTGTGAAACCTGCTCAGCTCCTCCCCCAGCATTGGAGCCTCAGCCTGGGGCTTTTCTTCCTTTTGACAGAAGAAGGTGTTGGGCCCCAGTTTTATTAAAATATTTTACACTGCAGACAACAACTCCCCCATTTTCTTTGTATTGCAGCCATTTTTTCAGAATAAATTGAAGGTATGGTGCAAGACACTTCATAAATTAGGTACTCAATAGAAAGTCACACATTATTGAAAACTCACAGAAATACCCACCTAAGTCCGGGCGCGGTGGCTCACGCCTGTAATCCCAGCACTTTGGGAGGCCGAGACGGGCGGATCACAAGGTCAGGGGATTGAGACCATCCTGGCTAACCCGGTGAAACCCCGTCTCTACTAAAAAATACAAAAAACTAGCCGGGCGAGGTGGCGGGTGCCTGTAGTCCCAGCTACTCGGGAGGCTGAGGCAGGAGAATGGCGTAAACCCAGGAAGCGGAGCTTGTAGTGAGCCGAGTTCGTGCCACTGCACTCCAGCCTGGGCGACAGAGCAAAGACTCCGTCTCAAAAAAAAAAAAAAAAAAAAAGAAATACCCACCTAAGATGTCACCCAACTCAAGGAAGTCCTGCGCTCTTGGAGTTCCTAGGTGGATGCGGGAGAGGGGTCTACACCACAGCAGTGTGGCTGGGCAGGATGGGGTGTCTGTGCTGACCACACTCTGACATCCTTCTCACTCCTCCCCTGCAGACCTCCAAGAAGCTGGTGAACTCGGTGGCTGGTTGTGCTGATGACGCCCTTGCTGGCCTGGTGGCCTGCAACCCCAACCTGCAGCTCCTGCAGGGCCACCGCGTGGCCCTCCGTTCTGACCTGGACAGCCTCAAGGGCCGGGTGGCACTGCTGTCGGGTGGGGGCTCTGGCCATGAGCCTGCCCATGCTGGTGAGTACCCTGGGGTGGGGCAGGGGGTACTGGTGGAGTGGACAGGGCCTCCTGTGAGATCCTCAGTGCTGCTATGAGGTGCAGCATGGAGCCCAGCCCAGAGTCAGGAACTGGGGCCACTTCCCACTCTCCCACTCCCTCCGGCTGGGATCAGGGGCCCATTACGGCCTCTCTGAATCTGTTTCTACATCTACAAAACTATGAAGTTGGGCCAAACAATCCCTCAAGTCCTTCTAGCTCTGAGAGTTGGTGATTCCATGAATCTTCTGGACCCTCCAGGCCCAACAGACCCACCCCCTCTTCCATGAAGGCTTCCTGACTCTTCCAGCCTAGAGCAGCACCCCTCTTCTGAATTCCCACCTGCCGTAACCCACACCTGGAACCGGGGACGCGAACTCTCCTTGAGGGCTGCTGGAGGGCAGGGACTAGGATGCGCATCATTTGTCCTCTTCCTGTCTTCCTTCAGCAAAATCCATTCATTCAGCAAACACTCATGAGCCCATTGTGTACCTGGCACTGTACTGGGCACTAGGGATACAGCAATGAACCAGACAGGCAAGGTCCCTGCCCTCGTGGAGCTTTTATTCTACTTAGGGGAGATAGACAATAGCCAGGTAAACACGAAAGTAAATGAGATCATTTCAGAGGGTGCTATGTGACTTAGTACAGACAGTAAAACGGCAAAGGAACAGTGAGTCCCTGGGGAGGGAGTTGGTGACTGCTTCAGGCTGGGAGGTCGCAGAAGGCCTCTCTAAGATGCCTCCTAAGAAGGAGTCAGCCGAAGACCTGGGGGATCTTTGAGCACCAAGCACACAGTAGGGCTCACCAAACCATGACCCCCGGAGCATGGGAAGCCCCAGTGACTACAGGCGCAAGTCCCGCCTGCCATGCTCACTGCACCCCTTCCACCTCCAGGTTTCATAGGGAAAGGGATGCTGACCGGGGTCATCGCAGGAGCCGTGTTCACCTCCCCAGCAGTGGGTAGCATCCTGGCAGCCATCAGGGCAGTGGCCCAGGCCGGCACAGGTAAGCCTGGCATGCAGGAGGGGCTGCGGCGGGGAGGGCACAGTTTGTGCACTGAGCCCTGCCGGCTGCTCCCGCAGTGGGGACCCTCCTCATCGTGAAGAACTACACTGGGGATCGGCTCAACTTCGGCCTGGCCCGGGAGCAGGCCCGGGCTGAAGGCATCTCAGTGGAGATGGTGGTGATCGGGGATGACAGCGCCTTCACCGTCCTGAAGAAGGCAGGCCGGCGGGGGCTGTGTGGCACGGTGCTTATACACAAGGTAGGCTTCCACCGGGGACACAGAGACTGGCCAGCCCCTTCCAGCCTTCCCTTGCCTGGCAGCACCCTGTAACTGGACCTTTCCAGCCCTTCCCCAAGAAGCTACTTCTTTTTCTCCAGTGTTCCCTGATCTCAGAAGGCCCCGCCATCCCCTCAGCTACCTAAGCCCAGATACAGGCATTTTCCCAGACTCGTCCCCTTCTCTTCTCCACACCCAATCAGTTGCCCAGTTCTGGCGCTTCTACTCCCAAATGTATGTAACACACATCCTCCTCAGACCCCACCCTCCTGCTTTGCCTTGGTTCAGGGGTCATCTGCTCATGCCTGATGGCTGCAGCCACCTCCTCACTGGGCTCCCCTGCCTGCTTCCTGCCTTCCGGCCTTGCTCATCCATTCCTCACACGACTGCCAGAGGTGTCTTTTTAAAATGTGTATCTGACTAGGTTCATCCACTGAAAGCCTTCTTGGGTCCTTGGAATCAACACAAGCCCTCACCTCAGCTCCCTGACTCCCCACCTTCATCTCCCATCATCCCTGCCTTCCTCTTTTTAAATTTTCTTTTATTTATTTATTTTTTAATTTATTTTTCGAGACAGAGTCTTATTCTGTTGCCCAGATTGGAATGCAGTGGCACAATCTTGGCTCACTGCAGTCTCCGCCGCCCAGGTTTAAGCGATTCTCCTTCCTCAGCCTCCCCAGTAGCTGGGATTACAGGTGCCTGCCACTACGCCTGGCTAATTTTGTAGTTTTAGTAGAGATGGGGTTTTACCATGTTGGCCAGGCTGGTCTCGAACTCCTGACCTCAAATGATCTGCCCTCCTCGGCCTCCCAAAGTGTTGGGATGACAAGCGTGAGCCACCATACCCGGCCATCGTTGCCTTCCTCTTACGGTCCATTCACACCAGCTCCTATACCTGCCAGGCTGTGGATCATCTCTGACTTTGCTTATGCAGTGTCTGTGGCCTGGAAAATTCTTTCCTTGTCCAGCCTCCTTTTGGCCTGGCTAACTCCTACCTTTCTGCAGAGGCTCAGCTCTGATGTCTCCCCACCTGGAAGGCTCTCCCTGATCTACATCTCCCCACTACCCTGAGCTGGCTGGCAGCCCCTCCTAGTGTAATTGTAATTACCACCTCACATAAATTTTCCATCTGTGCATGTCTGCTTCCCTAGCCTCTCTCCAGGCTGTGAGTTCTTGAAGGTGGGGACTGTGACTTAGTTGCCTTTTTTCCTTTTCAGCATATACTAGATGCTTGGTAAAAATTGGCTGGATGGATGGATGGATAGATGGGTAAAGTTACCCACAATAGCAAGGCTATGGGAGAGAGAACTCTGGAACTCTAGAGTTGGGAAACTGGCCACCCACTGGCTGTGTGACATTGGACAAGTCACCTCCCCTCTCTGGGTCCATTTCCCCATTTGTAAAGTCTCTTCTGACTCCAACAGACTAGAATTCTTGAAGATTTCTGGCAGGTACAATGCGAATGGAGGGAGTTTGCTCTTCTGCCCTAAATGTGATGGGCCAGGTTGAGTGTGGAAATCCTAAGAGGTTCCCCCTTCCCAACAAGAAACTCACCCCCTGCCTGTCTTCTACCCCACATGGTACAGTGATACCTGCCCCGCTGGGGCTTTTAACTCTGTGTGGCTGCAGGTGGCAGGTGCTCTGGCCGAGGCAGGTGTGGGGCTGGAGGAGATCACAAAGCGGGTGAACGTGGTTGCCAAGGCCATGGGTGAGTGCCGGCCTGGGAGTTGGGCAGGAGAGTGGGGAAGGTTGGGACAGCCCTGGGACGAGGAGCAGGTTCCTGTTGGCTGCCTAGCGGTGCTCCCCAGGTTATTTCCCAGGGGTCTAGGGAAGGTATCCCTGGGGGAGCTCCTGGGGACTGGTGGCCTTGGGTACCATGACTGAGGTGGAGAGTCCAGCAGGCTTTCTCAGAGAAGAGGGTGTCTGTGGGCAGGGCTTCTGAGATGCTGCTGCCGCCCTTCCTGATGCCCAGTGCTGAGAGTGGAACAGTCATCCCTTCATGCCTTGTTTCTCATAGGTACCCTGGGGGTGAGCTTATCCTCCTGCAGCGTCCCTGGTTCCAAACCCACCTTCGAGCTCTCAGCCGATGAGGTGGAGCTGGGCCTGGGTAAGCTTGTGGCCGCCCATCCCAGCCCTGCCTGCCCCTTAGCCCTGGACTTTGCCCACCTTGTATACCCTGAGAGCCATCAACCTGCTCCTCTCCCCAGGTGGTCTTAGCATTTTTACCTGGGCATTTGAGGCCCAGCCTGGCCCAACCTACCTGATTCCTACCTGCTTTGCCATCTACACCCAGGGCTCTGGCCACGTGGAGCTCTGTACGCTGCCGCCGTCCTTGCCTTTGCCTACCATTCCCAGGTCCTCCTGTCTCTGCCAGAATACACCCTTCTTTCAAGGGCTCTTCAGAGATCCCTGGCTGCAAAGCTTTCTGCTTCCTCCCCTGTGCTTCCACCTTGATGACCTCTAGTTAAAGCTATCTCCACCACCAAGCCACGAGCTCCCAGAGAACAGAGACCATGTTTTTCATTATTCTGTCCCTTTCCATTCCCGACTCCCGCCCACTTACTGTGTGAGTCCAGCACTGTGTGGGTCCTTGATAAAAACGATGCGCAAATCCCCAGGCCCTGAGTGGGTCAGCAGTGACCACATCTATCCACAGGGATCCACGGGGAAGCTGGTGTGCGCCGGATAAAGGTAAGTGGTCGCCCTGGCACAGGCCACCCTAAAGCCAAGGCCTCCCAGATGTAGCTCATTCCTGGCTCCCTGTGACAGATGGCAACTGCTGATGAGATTGTGAAACTCATGCTCGACCACATGACAGACACCACCAATGCGTCCCATGTGCCTGTGCAGCCCGGTGGGTAGCTTCTCGCCCGCGTCTCCCAACCCTTCCTACACCTCTGGGCAGGAGACGCCCAGAGGGTATCACCTGGGGTGTCATGTCTACCCACAGGCTCTTCAGTTGTGATGATGGTCAACAACCTGGGTGGCCTGTCATTCCTGGAACTGGGCATCATAGCCGATGCTGCCGTTCGCTCCCTGGGTGAGCCATGCACTGGGAAGCGGAGCCTGCAGCCCTCTGGAAAGGGCTGAGGGAGGGCCTTGTGATGGCAGAGAACATGGACTGTGCGTCAGATAAGTCTGAGTTAAATCGTCTCTCTGCCACCTAATTGCTGGATACCTTGAGCCTCTGTTTGTTTTCTTGTCTGCAAATTTGGGGTAATAATAATGGTACCTGCGTTATACCGTTGTTGTGAGGATTAAGTGAGATTAAACATATGTAAGGCACTCAACACAGCACCCAGCACCTGGCACGAACTGAGTAAATGAGACCTGTAATTGCTCATCTGCCGTGAAGTAGGGGACACCTCCAGGGAACATGGTCATTTGTGGGGTTGAGGGATGCCTGCCAGGAGGAAATCAGGCCATCCCCGTCCTGATCTCAGTGCCCCAGCTTCCAAGGTCCTTGCTTTTCTGTTGTTTTGTTTCTTTCCCTGATGCCCATTTTTCCCTTCTGGACCGCCATGCTCTGGTATTGCAGAGGGCCGTGGGGTGAAGATTGCCCGTGCCCTGGTGGGCACCTTCATGTCAGCACTGGAGATGCCTGGCATTTCTCTCACCCTCCTGCTGGTGGATGAGCCTCTCCTGAAACTGATAGGTGAGACTTGGAACCTGGGGTCGCCCAAGCCAGGGCTCCTTGTAGCTGGAAGGAGTCAGGCAGACTTGGAGACTCTATCAGGGCTGACCGTGACCATCAGGGCTCTGCAGCCTGTGAAGAAGGACCTTTCTGGGCTTCTTCAGCCTTCTCCAGCTGTCACTGGTACTAGGAGGAGTTGGTATTAGGATCCTCCTCAGATAGGCCTGACCCTTTCCCCAGGGACCCTCTCTCCATACCCCTGTACACAGTAGGCACTCAGTCCATGCTTGTTGAGGTGGACTCCCTTCCTCCAGGGCTGCTGAGGGAGCCAGTCCACCAGGGCCAGGATGGGGGGGTCCAAGCCCTGCTGAATCCCTGGCTGGACAGCCATGTCTAAGAGAGTTATCTTGCTGCTCTTAGATGCTGAAACCACTGCAGTAGCCTGGCCTAATGTGGCCGCAGTCTCCATTACTGGGCGGAAGCGGAACCGGGTAGCCCCTGCCGAGCCCCAGGAGGCCCTTGATTCCACTGCTGTAGGAGGTACCAACTCCTGCCTCTGGGGAAGGGACAGGCTTCCCAAAGGATGCAGGGGTATGCGGTGGGGTGGGTAGGGGCCCTGGCACCCACATCTCCCACCTCAGTCAAGTGTGGTTGTGAGAAGGGCCTGGTGGGCCTGTTCTTCACCATCCTCCCTTTCTAGGCTCAGCCTCGAAGCGGATGGCGCTGGTGCTGGAACGGGTGTGCAGCACCCTCCTGGGCCTGGAGGAACACCTGAATGCCCTGGACCGGGCTGCTGGTGATGGCGACTGTGGCACCACCCACAGCCGTGCGGCCAGAGGTTGGTGCCGGGGACTTTTCCAAGTTAGGTCATCCACAAAACCCTAGCCCCCCTTCCACCTGTTGCCTTGAAGACAGGGACTTTTTTTTTTTTTTTTTAAAGAAGGAGTCTTACTCTGTCACCGGGCTGGAGTGTGCAATGGCGTGATCTCGGCTCCCTGCAGCCTCCGTCCTGCCGGGTTCAAGCAATTCTCCTGCTTCAGTCTCCCAACTAGCTGAGATTACAGGCATGCACAACCACGCCTGGCTAATTTTTGTGTTTTTAGTGGAGGCAGGGTTCGCTGTGTTGGCCAGGCTGGTCTCTAACTCCTGACCTCAAGCCATTGCTCACCTTGGCCTCCCAAAGTGCTGGGATTACAGGCATAAGCCACTGCACCTGGCCGACAGTGACCTTCTTAACAGCACAAATGTACGAGGTTATTATCTTAGAATTAAATGAAATCCTTCACAGTGAATAACTTACAACTCAAGCAAAACATATTCTGTTGTCCTTATTTTTCTCAGTTTACCCAGACCAGTGAAAAGCTCTTAACTGTCCAGCATCATTCATTCGAGAAAAAGGTATTTGGTGTCTGCCACGGGGCAGGCACTGCTCTCAACTGTGGATACAGTAGTGAACAGAGCAGACAGAAATCACCGCCCTCATGGCTTATGTTCTGGGTGGAAGACAGTCAACAAGATAAATCAGTAAAACACAGAGGATGTTAGCACAAAGGGCGAAGGAGAAAAAACCAAGCCAGGAAGCGGAGTACACAGTGTCAGGTGGAGGGGCTTCGAGGCAGGCCTCGCCTCCCCAGACCCTTTCGATTATACAGTCTGGCCTCTGTCTAGACTGCACACTGAATGTGGAAAGGGATCTTGGGAAGCCTTCATTTCACCTCCCTGTCAGCCTTTTCCAGCCATCATTGGTGCCGGCTGGAAGTCTGGCAGATGGAGGGAGGGTCTCTGAATTCCTCCCGTCTCTCGGTGCCTGCAGCAATCCGGGAGTGGCTGAAGGAGGGCCCACCCCCTGCCAGCCCTGCCCAGCTGCTCTCCAAGTTGTCTGTCCTGCTCCTGGAGAAGATGGGAGGCTCATCTGGAGCGGTGGGTGCCTGGGGGCTGAAGGGCTGACAGGGAGGTGGCTGGGCCGGCTGGGGTCCAGGCCAGCACCACATGCTCAGTGTTCTCATCCTCCCCAGCTCTATGGCCTGTTCCTGACTGCGGCTGCCCAGCCCCTCAAGGTCAAGACCAGCCTCCCAGCCTGGTCTGCTGCCATGGATGCCGGCCTGGAAGCCATGCAGAAGTGAGCCGGAGCCCTGTGCATCAGACCAGGGGTGGGCTGGGGGAGGTGGTTGGTGACATCTGCCCCCCCACCAGGCCCTAGCCCCACCCTCAGAGTGATTCCCTTGGTTCCCTATAGTGAGCCCCTTTCATTCTCTCCCTGCTAGGTATGGAAAGGCTGCCCCAGGGGACAGGACTATGGTATGTACTCGGGCTGTGGCCCTAGACCTTTCTCCTTTTGAGCCTGTAAGCCCTAAAGAGCACCCTCAGTTGCAGGGCCTGTGCTCAGCCCCCTTTCCCTCACCTTGTCCAGCTGGATTCTCTGTGGGCAGCAGGGCAGGAGCTCCAAGCCTGGAAGAGCCCCGGAGCCGATCTGTTGCAAGTCCTGACCAAAGCAGTCAAGGTGAGTGAGGCTGGGCCCAGCCACCCAGGGAGACAGGCTTCTAGCCACCAGACTCCTGTCTCCATGTGACCCTGAGCAAGTTAATAACCTTCCTGGATCACAGTTTCCTTCTCTGTACAATGGAGATGAGCACCTATCTCAGAAGGTGGTTATGTGGCTAAGGAAATATGTAGAGCCCCGCACACTGCCTGGGATGTGACAGGGCCTCAGTGAATGGTGACCCTTTTCCCTGCTGGAAGTAGATGAGAGGTAACTTTCCATTTGGTGACAGAGCAGAGGGTGCTGGCAGAGCCAGGGCAAGAGCATGCAGGGCCAGGCTGCACGGCAGAGACGTTCTGTCCATGGCAGGAAGGAGGCGGCCTCATGGCCTGCCCTTGAACCTGCTCCCACACCCCATCCCCCAGAGTGCCGAAGCTGCAGCGGAGGCCACCAAGAATATGGAAGCTGGAGCCGGAAGAGCCAGTTATATCAGCTCAGCACGGCTGGAGCAGCCAGACCCCGGGGCAGTGGCAGCTGCTGCCATCCTCCGGGCCATCCTGGAGGTCTTGCAGAGCTAGGGTGTGTGACTGCCTCCCTTGGCCTCAGCTCCTCTCATTGCTGTGCTGAGGTGGCCTTTGTCACTTCTTTCTGCCTTCCAACCGTCACTTTCCCCTGGCCTGGCTCCATTGGCCCACCCTCTAAGTTGAGCAGGAAATCCTCCACCAAGCTTCCAGAACTACAGACAGCACCCAGAGCGAGCTAGAGTGGGTCCCTGTGCCTCTCCAGCATGCCCTTTCCCTTTGTGAGAGGGTGGAGTCCCTGGGTCATGCCCTCCCTTGCCAGTTCTGGGCTTCAGAGATAAGGCATTTTCCTTGTGCAGCCTTTATCTGGCAATCCTAATTTGGTTTTAAGACTCCCTGTGAAATGCCTTCTGCACCTTAATCCCAATGAGCATGGAAAAGAAAGTTAATAAACTATAATACGTGGAAGCAAGAAAGCCACTGCCTCCTCTGAGGGACCTTTTCCCATGCGTGTAAACAAAGGGGCCCACAGCCCTGGCTGCAGGCATCATGACCCATCTTCTACCAGGCAGATCTTTATTACCTGAGCCCCTAAATCAGTGTCTCCTCAGCTGGGCTGCTTCCACTGAGACCCCCGACCTGTTCCCTTTCCAGTACACACACCTGATTCGTGTAAGAATGGTAGAACGGCTTTTCTCAGCATCGAATTAACAATTCAGTGGCTCCTCGGGAGTCAAATGGGCATTTGGGACACCAGAAGAAAAATAAATCATCATAGTCTAAGGTTCGGTTGTAGATCAGAAAATGCAGCCAGGCCGGGCATGGTGGCTCACATCTGCAATACCAGCACTTTGTGATCCCTTACACTCAGGAGTTCAAGACCAGCCTGGGCAACATGGTGAAACCCTGGCTCTACCAAAAAATACAACATTAGCCAGGCATGGTAGTGTGCCTGTAGACCTAACTTCCTGGGAGGCTGAGTTGGGAAGATGGCTTGGGCCCAGGTGGTCGAGGCTGCAGTGAGCTGTGATCATGCCACTAAACTCCAGCCTGGGCAACAGGGGGAGGGGAGGGGAGAGGAGGGCTGTGGCCAAGCCAGCCCCTAGGTCTCTTTCTAGAGCAATCACTGATGGCACCAGGGTGAGCAGGTGCATTCTGTGCATGTGGAGACCAATAGCACGTGCCTGGCACGCATGTAGGGTAGGGAGTGGTAAAGGCACTGGCTGTTAACTCATACACATGATCTGAAATCTGGTTCTGCTTTAACCTGGTTACATGAGCTAAGGCCTATTTTTTAGCCCCTTGGGATCTGTAAAATTAGAATGGTACCCACCTCACGGGGACATGAAAGGATTCCAATGAACTGATGAAGATGAAGCCCAGCACAGTCCAAGTGCTCACTCACTGGGAGTTATCACAAGGGTTGGGCCCTCAGCCCCTCCCAGGTCATCCACTCCACCACTAGCTAGTAGGAAACAGCCTCCTGTGCCCCCCAACCCCCGTCACCTATTTCGCCCAAATTGGCTGTAGGCTCCCCCAGTGCCTGGGCTTCTCTACCCAGGGTCTTGTCTGTCAGCTGCACCGTATGTCCCTGACCACAAGGCACCTGCACAGGGGTGTGTGCCCAGCAGCGGCGAAGGAGGCTGGCCTCAGACAGTGGCCTGTGGATCCCAGCTCTGTCACTTCCTGGCTGGGTGACCTCAACCTAGTCACTTAACCTTTTTGAGTCTTGTTTTCTCAGATTATGAAATAGGAAAAATTTCCTTCCTCCTGAGATAAGCAAGTGCCATTAGCAATTAAGGACATCCGCACATAAATGAGCTGCATGTGAATCTACACATGCCATTCCATGAAGACAGAGGATCGTGTGGATCTTTGGTGCCTTCCAGTTGGCCCCTCCCTAGGTCTGTGACGGTCAGACCTGTCCTGAGGCTTTTACAAATTGGCCCAGAACTCATTTAACCACAGCATCATTTCATCAGAGGGCTGCTATTAGAGACTGAATGAATGTGTCCCCCCCGCAAATTCCTGTGTTGAAAGGCTCACCCCCACTATGGTAGTGTTAGGACGTGGGGCCTTTGGGAGGTGGTTGGGTTATGAGGGTGGAGCCCCAGAGAGCTCTCACACCCTTTCCACCATGTGAGGTTATGGTGACAAGACGGTCTCTGAGGAAGCTGGCCCTTGCCACACACCACATTTGCCAGTGCCTTGATCTTGGATGTCTACAGCCTACAGAACTGTGAGAAATAAACGCTTGTTGTTTAAGCCACCCAGGCTATTATATTTTTGTTATAGCAGCCTGAACAAAGACAGCTTTGATTCTTAACATATTTAATGAAACTCGGGCTTCGTAAACCAGTGAAATGCCTACCCCTATGGCGACAGGGAGCTGGTCATGGGGCCTAGGTGCCTGGAGGACATCCCAGTGGCTTTGAAGGCTCCAGCCAGTCAAGATGTTCAATATTAGCCCTTCTGCCAACATCTGGCAATGTGAGGCTGGGGCGGACGGTTGGCCTGATGTTGCCAGGAGTAGGATGCTAATGCTGCCAGAGAGTAGGTGGGCTCCAAACCCCAGGCTTCTCACTTGCCTACTAAGCACAGCAGTCTGGAGCTTGGGACCTGGCAGTGCGTCTTTGGAGAAGGCAAAAAAGCCACAGCAGCAACACTTAGGAGAGGAGCAAGACCCTTCCCCCTCCCCACCGTATGTCCTCCTCTGAAGAAGAACAATAGCTCAAGCTCTGGCACAGAACACTGGGTTGGGCTAGGCAAGCAGCCATGGTGGGGGCAGGTGAAGCAATGTGGGTCTCAGCAAGGAACCCCTCTGAAGGTGGCAGTGGCTCCCAGGGCTGCTGCACACAGGACACCACAACTTTGGCATCAGTTGCATGCATGGTAAGCTGCAGTGATCAGAGGGGCTGGGGCCCTGCCAAGAGAGCAAGGCCAGATGTGCCCAGCAGGAGACAGGAAGGTCCTGATCCAGCAAGGGGAAGTAAAGGAAGTCTACAGCCACCTGTTACTCATGGCTACTAGGACATCTGGGGACAGGCTCTGTTCTTGGGAGAGCAGGTTACCAGGATTCGTAGGGCTGCCTGCCGGTGACAGGCATGTAAGTCACAGGGAAAGGCCGGGATCCAGGCCTCAGCTGTAGCAGCAGCTGGAAGAGGTGGAGCCGCACGGTCACAATACACGCAGACACAGAGCAGCAATACGAAACAGAACAGCTCAGAGCAGTCAGCTCCTCAGCAGAAGCTGTGTGGGCCACCACTCCCCGCTTCTGCAATCACCCCATGATGTCTCCACCCCACCTCACATCCAGACGGGGTTGGATGGCAGATGAAGCCTGCTCTGTGGCGGGGCAGCCTAACTGAAATGCACGCCTTTATGGGGGAAGCGGACGGACACCTCACCTCCCTCATGGTTCACATCATGGACTGCACTTGAGTCCCAGCTCTTCACCACATCCCTAGGAGTCTTAAGAGGAAATCAGTCTGACTTCTTCAGACAGGAGCAGCAAGAGTGGCCAGAGCAAGGAGGACCTCGTGTGAATGGAGGACCTGAGAGGCTGATGCCAAGGAGAAGCAGAAGCCAAAGCCACCAAGAAAAGCAGACAGACAGCAAGCGGCTGGAGAAGGCAGGCCCAGTACCCAGGCAAGAAGTCTGGGCCCAGCCTTCGAAGAAAGTTGCCTGCTGAAACCAGCTGGGAGCCCTGGGAAGAGCAGAGCTTCTGAAGAACACAGGCTGCACCACCAGGAGCTCCTGGGAGCCCCTTCCTGCTGCTTCACTCCCCATCATGCAGCAGGGGCTGGAAAGACAGGCAGATGCCGAGGAGTTAATGACATGATGCAGGAGTCACACCAGGCCCAAGCTATTCAGAGAGACCCCCAACCTGCAGGGTGGTCCCCACCCAAGCCACCACATCCCTCAGGGAAGCCCCAAAGTCCCTGAGCCTGGTACACACCCCATCTCCCTACATCCCATCAAGACCTGCTCCGAGCACTCAGCTGGTCACCATGTACCCATCTCACTAGAGTAGCCCCCAGGCTGGTAAAGGAGAAATCCCACACCCTTGTCATAGTCAAGCCCTTCCTTGGGGAAGAAGATAAGGCCACACTTCACCCCACAGAACCACAGTAATTTGGGGGGAAATTCTGTCGCCCAATGGACAGACCCTGGGGAGTCGCAGCATTTTGCTGGGATGCACTGGTTTGGAACCAGTGCTCCCCATCAGCCACCCTAACTCCACCCTCAAGTTACTTGATTTCCCACTGTGCCACAGGGTTAGTCTTCTTGTCAAGGCCCCAGCCTTTTGTGGGAGATCCTTCTCTAGACCTGGCCCTGTCTCACCCTGGAATGTGGGACTGGAACCCATACCTGTCTGTCGGTCAAGATCCCTGGCTCTGGGCGCTTCCAAGATGAAGCCAGAAGGATGTAGAGCACCAGCAGCCCGAAGGCCGCCACCAGCATCCCGGTGCTGTTGGCAAAGACCGCCTCACTGGGCAGGCTGTTGTATGGCCTGGTGGTGTTTTTCCTGAAGATGACAAAACAATGTGAGCCCTCGAGAGATTTTTCCACCTATTTTTGTCTAGTGGGAGACTCGATGTCACTAAAAGAGGGTGAGAAAACCTTCCCAGGGCCACATGTGATCTAGAATTTTAACACCCTTTCTAAGTCCCTGCAAATATTTGTATAATGAGCCAGGCACAGTGGCTCACTCTTGTAATCCCAGCACTTTGGGAGGCCAAGGCATGAGGATTGCTTTACCCCAGGAGTTCCAGACTAGCCTGTGCAACACTGCAACATACTGAGATCCTATCTCTACAAAAATAAAGCTTAGCTGGGTGAAGTGGTCCATGCCTGTAGTCCTAGCTTACTTGGGAGGCTAAATTGGGAAGATCGCTTGAGTGCAGAAGTTTGATGCTGCAGTAAGCTATGGTGACACCATTGCTCTCCAACCTAGGCAACAGAGTGAGATGCTATCTCTTGGTGGGGGGGATAAAAGGAGAGAGAGGGTCTTCCTACGTTGCCCAGGCTGGACTCCTTCCACCTCAGCCTCACTAGTAGCTGGGACTACAGGTGCATGCCACTGCACCCAGCTGTAATAATCCTTTTACCCATGAGGAAACTGAAGCTCAAAGCAATGAAATTAACTTGCCCAAAGTTGCATAATTAGTAAATGGCACAGCCAAGATCGAAACCACAGTCTGACCTTAAGTCCTACTTGCTTTTCACTACACCCCACTGCCTCAAGAAAATGGACAGTAGTGGTCAGGCATGCACGGCTCTAAAGTCAGACTGCCTAACCCGAGCCTCAGCTCTGCCACTTACTGGCTGTGTGCTGTTGGGTAAGTTTACGTAACCCCTCTGTTCCCTCATTTGTTTTTTTTTTTTTTATTATTTTCCTTTTTACCTGAACAGTCCTATTGCAGAATCTGTTCCCTCAATTGAAAATGGCAATGATGGCATTACAGACACGGTGGCTCACGCCTGTAATCCCAGCACTTTGGGAGGCTGAGGGGGGCGGATCACGAGGTCAGGAGTTTGAGACCAGCCTGCCCAGCATGGTGAAACCCCGTCTCTACTAAAAATACAAAAAATTAGCCCGGCATGGTGGCGTGCTCTTGTAGACCCAGCTACTTGGGAGGCTGAGGCAGGAGAATTGCTTGAACCCGGCAGGTGGAGGTTGCAGTGAGCCAAGATTGTGCCACTGCGCTCCAGCCTGGGCGACAGAGCGAGACTCCATCTCAAAAAAAAAAAAGAAAATAGCAATGACAACAATACCAGTGATGTAGGGTGGTTGACAGGATTAAATGTAAAGTGCTTAGGACAGTTTCTGACACACAGCAGGTGCTAAATCAAACTGATGCTCAATAAATATCTGCTGACTTAACAATTTCAACCTAAAGAAAGATCAATTCTGTTACCTTCCAGATCAGGAATGGGCCCAACCCCAAAAGCTCTCCTCCCTTGGGTGAATCCTGTGATCACAGGGTGTATTTTTTGAAGACCCTATTCCCTCCTCTTCACCTTAGAGTTGGGGACCCCACTGCACTCACAAACTGAAGAAAAGCTTCTCGTTAATGCCGGAAATGACGGATGCGATGGACAGAGAGAGGATGGCGGCTCCAAAAAAGACGTGGATGGGTTTCAGGAGGCTGCGCAGCCACATGGACGCCCAGGGCAGGAGGAAGACAGCAAAGCCCAGGCACCACTGTGGACAAAAGGGAGGACGCACCCAACTGTGCTATGTGTGACCAAAGCACAGCCCACCCCAGCAGCACCTCCTCCCCATCTCTACTCCCTGGATCTTCTTTCACAACTCAGACCCTCCCACCAGGCATTGCCCACCACCATGCTAGCTTCCTCAATGTGGCCTATTACCCAAGAACAGTAAATGACATGCTTAGCTACCATCCCACTCCCAGCAAACCTAACCACCTTGTTTGTCTCTGCTTCCTTCCAGTCCTTGCTCATAAAACTCCTCACTTGCACAGGCCTGAGATCAGAATATGGGAAGCACTTCTAGAATTCTTTTGGTTCACAGAGGTGGGAGTGGGGAAAGTGGAAGCCAGATGGCTGATTAGTCAGCATGGTACGTGCCATGACAAAGTTAGCAGAGAGGGCTCTGGGACAAGAGACGGGCAATGGGAGGGATAAAAGGAACAGAGTAAGTTCAGGCCACTGACCTCCCACAGCCCTGGAAGAAACTGTCAATTCTACAGGATACAACTTCCAAGCAGTGAGCAGAAGGAATATTTGGTGCTCTCTCCAGGCAGTGAGCAGAAGGAATATTTGGTGCTCATGCAAGTGAACCCCCAACCAGAGCTCATGGCTCTAGGAACCTCGAGGAGGAGCACAGAGAGAACCCACCTGGCAGGCGAAGAGGAAGACAGCAGTGATGCCCAGCCAGCTGTGCAGGGAGTACAGGTTGGCAATCTTTCCATGGTTGTGAAACGTAAAGACAGCAACCAGCCCCACAACAGTGAGGATGAAGGCCATCAGGTGCAGCGCTGCATGGAGGAGTTTCCAGGGCAGTTTGGGCCCCACCCACGACTGGGGCAGGCGGTACACCAGTGACGCTGCAGGAGAGAGCAGTCCCAGGGCTCAGCATCCAGGAGAGGGCAGTCCCAGGGCTCAGCCTCTCCCCTCGTGCTCACCCAGACATCAGGGAATAACCCTGATAGGATCCTACACGGTTTCCCAGCAAGGGAACAGGAAATGCTAGGGCACTGGTATCAACTCCTTGGCATCTTTTATCCTCCCATAATTTGTGGGATAACAGTCAGCCACGAAGGGAGGAGAGAAGGGCCAGTTAAAAAGGGAGGAGGGGCCGGGCGCGGTGGCTCAAGCCTGTAATCCCAGCACTTTGGGAGGCCGAGACGGGCGGATCACGAGGTCAGGAGATCAAGACCATCCTGGCTAACCCGGTGAAACCCCGTCTCTACTAAAAAACACAAAAATCTAGCCGGGCGAGGTGGCGGGCGCCTGTAGTCCCAGCTACTCGGGAGTCTTGAGGCAGGAGAATGGCGTCAACCCGGGAGGCGGAGCTTGCAGTGAGCTGAGATGCGGCCACTGCACTCCAGCCTGGGACAGAGCGAGACTCCGCCTCAAAAAAAAAAAAAAAAAAAAAAAAAGGGAGGAGGGGTCAGGCAATGTGGCTCATGCCCGCAATTCCAGCACTTTTTGGGAAGCCAAGGTGGGAGGACTGCTTGAGACCAGGAGTTTGAGGTTACGGTGAGCTATGATCATGCCACTGCGACCTAGCCTGGGCCACAGAGAGAAATAAATAAATAGATTCAAATTAAAAAGGGAGGAGGGCTGGGCACGGTGGCTCATGTCAGCACTTTGGGAGGTGAGAAGTTCAAGACCAGCCTGGGCAACATAGCAAGATCCTGTCTCCACAAAAAAATAAAAATAAAAATAAATTACCCGGGCGTGGTGGCACATGCCTGTACTCTCAGCTACTTAGGGGCTGAGGTGGGAGGATCACTTGAGCCCAACAGTTCAAGGCTGCAGCAAGCTATGATCATCCCACTGCACTCTAGCCTGAAAAAGAGGGAAACCCGGTCTCCTAAAAAAAAAAAAAAAGTGGAGGGGAGAAGCAGGTTTCTTAGACTTCTCATTCTATTTTTACAATAATAAATTCAGCTTGTTTGCGGTTTCCAGGCTAAAAAGCATCATGACAGTCATTATTTCATCAAACTGAATTGTCACAACTGAGGCTGGCTGTCAAGAACACAGGTGCTAAGGTCAGGCAACATAGGTCCAAATCCAGGCTCTGCCTCTTAGCTGTTTGGCCTCTCCTTTCTAACTCTCAATTTCCTCATCTGTAAAAGGGACATAACAGAGCCCACCTCACAAACTTGTAAGAACAAAATGGGATGACATGTGAACTGCACATGATAAGCTGCTATCATCAATGGCATCGTATTGCCATTTTGCAAGTGGGGAAAATGAGGCTCATCGGGGCCCCAAGGCATAGTTTTGAAAGCATGGGACAAAGATTACAAAGATAGATCCCAGGCTGGGCACGGTGGCTCACGCCTGTAATCCCAGCACTTTGGGAGGCAAAGGCAGGTGGATCACCTGAGGTCAGGAGTTCGAGACCAGCCTGACCAACATGGTGAAACCCCATCTCTACTAAAAAATACAAAAATTAGCTGGGTATGATGGCAGGCACCTGTAATCCCAGCCACTTGGGAGACTGAGGCAGGAGAATAGCCTGAACCCAGGAGGCAGAGGTTGCAGTGAGCCAAGATCATGCCACTGCACTCCAGCCTGGGCGACAAGAGCAAAACTCCATCTCAAAAAAAGAAAAAAAAGAAAAAAAAAAAAACATAGATCCCGGAAAAGCAAGCAAGTCCCTCATTCAGTGGCCTGACCAAACCATGAGAGGCTTCAATCTCCTGTTCTCTAGAGCTGGTTAAAAACTACAGCTCAGGCCAGGCGCGGTGGCTCACGCCTGTAATTTCAGCACTTTGGGAGGCTGAGGTGGGCGGATCACGCGAGATCAGGAGATCTAGACCATCCTGGCTAACATGGTGAAACTCTGTCTCTATTAAAAATACCAAAAATTAGCCGGGCGTGGTGGTGAGCACCTGTAGTCCCAGCTACTCAGGAAGCTGAAGCAGGAGAATGGCGTGAACCCAGGAGGTGGAGCTTGCAGTGAGCCGAGATCATGCCACTGCACTCCAGCCTGGGCAACAGAATGAGACTCCGTCTCAAAAAAAAAAAAAAAAAAAAAAAAAAAACACTACAGCTCAAAGGCCAAATCCAGCTCGCTACCTATGTTTGCAAATAAAGCTTTATTGGAACACATGAGCCACACTAGTGTTTATCTGTTGTCTATGGCTGCTCTCAAAATACAGTGGCAGAGCTGAGTACCTGCAACACAGATTCTATGTCTTGCAAAACTGAAATATTTATCTGACCCTCTACAGAAAGTTTGCCAACTCCTGCCCTAGAGTATGTGTGAAGCCACCCTTCTGAGATGCCCCCAGTCTTAACCCCTTCCTCCCCCAAATGACAGCTGGGCCCAGAGACAGCCCAACCCACCCTACCCACATAGCCCCAAACCCAATATTAAAAAAGGCCAGCCTTGGAGAGGGAAAGTGCAGCTTTGTCCAGTCTGGGCCCTATCCCGCCTCCCTTCCTGACCTCTTACTCACCACCTCCGTAGAATACCACCATGCCAGCAACCATAAGCACCGGGTGCCAGTTGAACATGTAGATACTGCCATTCCAGGCAAAGCCACCACGCCAGTACTGCATCCAGTAGATAGTGAAGAGGATGCACATGGAGCCCAGGGACCCCAGCAGCAGGCAGGACAGGTAGAACCATCCCGATGCCATTCTGATCATGCACTCCTGAAGAAGGAGAAGTCACAAGTCTCCACTGGCTCAGGTGCACCCAGTTCTCTGGCTAAAGGACGTAACACTGATTTCGCTCTTGACTTGTGGGACGGAATCTTTTTGCTTCAGTTCCCTTGCATCAGCCTGGGCACCACCCCCCCCACCCCCGAGGCCTCAATGTCTGGGTGGGCCTGATCTTCAGTCACAATGACTGAGGCCCCACCCCAGCACCTGGCAGTGCCCAGACAGAGCAGCAAGCTCAAGGCTGTGGCTGGCTGTGGTGAAGGCCAGATGCCAAGCCCCAAGGCCCAGAGTCCTGGGATTGCTCTCCCCTCACAGGACCAGAAGGTAAAGAATTACCACCCCACACCCCCCAGGAAAAAAGGGACAGGAATCAAAATCCAGGCTAAATCACGCAAATGCCCAGGCCTTGGGTTCTAACATAAGAAGGTGAAACTTACAATCTGAAACGAGCAAACACCCCACTATTACACTAGACAGGAAGAAGTCAGAAAAGTTCTTCCCCAGAGAGTGAGCGCTACGGGGCTAATCTTCACTGGAGAGGTAACCAGGCCTTCACTCCACTGCCCACACTTCACACCTTGAACCAGCTGATGCCCCTCAGCTGTCTCCAGCCCTGAGACTTCTGCTTTCTCTTCCTCTGGGGAAAGTCCAGAGAAGAAAAGAGGAAGCAACAACTCATGGTCCAGAAAGCAAGAGATTTATTTTGAGATTTCCACAAGTCCTTGATAAACCCAGAAACCAGCTCTGGTTTCAGGCATGGCAAATGCTTAAAGCCCTGAGCAGTTGCTCTTAAACCCTAGACAAGTGGGCAAAGCCACAGGACTGGCCCTGCTTTCAGCTAATACGTAGGCAGCACGGGCCCAGGCATCAAGGTAGTCACCCTGTCCCATGGACTCACACCACGAAGGCAACAATGTGGCTTCCTGCATTGAGGCCCCTCACTCAGAACCAGTCAATAGAGAGAAGAAATAGCCAATAGCCCCCATGGAGGTAAAACACTTGACTGCTCACCTTTAGCCCTAATGATAGGCTCAGAGAACTGGCCTGGGCTCCAATCCCTGCGAAATGGGCACCTTGAGCAAATCACTGAACATTTGCAGGACTCACCTGCAAGAAAGACACGGCAATAAGAATACTTGAACAATAAGAATAACGAACACCAGCTACGAGCGCCAGAGCCTTACACACAAGATCCCATTTATTCCTCTTAACCCTGGGAGGCATATTACCCATGAGGAAACTAAGGCTGAGAGAGAGAAGTAATTAGTATGAGGACCCAGTGAGTGGGTGGGGAGTTCCAAATCCTGTATGTTTAGCTTCAAGGCCCACGCACTTCCTTGACCACAGGTTGGCAGATCAAGTGAGAAAAATGAATGTAGCACATTGTAGAAGTCAAGTATTAGAATTCTTGGCTAGGCGCAATGGCTTACGCCTGTAATCCTGCACTTTGGGAGGCTGAGGCAGGTGGATGACCTGAGGTCAGGAGTTCGAGACCGGACTGATCAACATGGTGAAACCCCATCTCTACTAAAAATGCAAAATTAGTTGGGTGTGGTCGTGGGCACCTGTAATCCCAGCTACTCGGGAGGCTGAGGCAGGAGAATTGCTTGACCTAGGTAGGCAGAGGTTGCAATGAGCTGACAGTGTGCCCATTGCACTCCAGCCTGAGCAACAAGAGCGAAACTTCATCTCAATAAATAAATAAATAAATAGGCTGGGTGCAGTGGCTCACGCCTGTAATCCTAGCACTTTGGGAGGCCGAGGTGGGCAGATCATGAGGTCAAGAGATCAAGACCATCCTGGCCAACATGGTGAACCCCGACACCCATCTCTACTAAAACTAAAAAATTAGCTGGGCATGGTGGCGCATGCCTATAGTCTCAGCTACTCAGGAGGCAGAGGCAAGAAAATTGCTTGAACCCGGGAGGCGGAGGTTGCAGTGAGCCGCGATCACGCCACTGCACTCCAGCCTGGCGACTGAGCAAGACTCCATCTAAAAAAAAAAAAATAGAATTCTTAGTCATTGCTGTCACGTACTTCATCCTAACTACTAACAAAAACATGCAACTCATGTTCCTTGTGCCTGCCCAGGCCTCTCAGTGGCCCTCAGTCATGCCATACCAGCTCTCCCCATGCTAGGGGTCCACCTACTTAGGTAAAAATGCTGGAATTTCACAAGGTGACCCAACTTGGCAGTAATCTCTGAGAAAGGAAGGTCCAGCCAGGCACGGTGGCTCAAGCCTGTAAACCCAGCACTTTGGGAGGCTGACGTGGGCAGATCACCTGAGGTCAGGAGTTCAACACCAGCCTGGCCAACATGGTAAAACCGTGTCTCTATTAAAAATGCAAAAGTGTGCTGGGTGTGGTGGCACTCACCTATAATTCCAGCTACTAGGGAGGCTGAGGCAGGAGAATTGCTTGAACCCTGGAGGTGGAGGTTGCAGTGAGCCGAGATCATGCCACTGCTCTCCAGCCTGGGGGACAGAGCGAGACTGTCTCAAAAAAAAGAAAAGAAGGTCCAAGGACTGTGGGGAAAAAGCTTCCATGAAGCTGGCAGGAGAAAATCATGCCACCAGCTTCCTAGAAGCTTTGTGACTCAACTACTTAACTCAGAGATTTACTACCCAGCCTTAGAACTGCCTCCTCAATTCCTCCAAGGGCAGAGGACATTTCAGATCACCAGATGTTCACCTAAAACACTCTCCATCCCTCAATGAAATATAAGAGATCTTGATCAGCAGGCTCACTCATCTGACAGTATCGACTTCCACAACTGTTTTTTTCTTTTTTTTCCTTTGTAAAAGTAAAAAATAAATGTAGTCCAAAAGGATCTGAAGCCATACCCTAGAAGAGGTCCTGGTTTACTGCTCTGTGACAGACTTAGAATAGACCCTGGGCACACTTTCCTGACAGAGAGCTGCAGAGTTATATTGCCCTGCTCACAATACACAGATAAGCCCTCCTACTTCCTGAAATAGAGCAAAACAGGAGAAAAGGAAGAATGCAGTGAAGGACCAGCAGTGATTCATGCCTATAATCCCAGCACTTTGGGAGGCCAAGGCAGGTAGATTACCTGAAGTCAGGAGTTCGACACCAGCCTGGCCAACATGATGAAACCCCGTCGCTACTAAAAATACAAAAATTAGCCAGGCACAGTGGCATGAGCCTGTAATCCAAGGTACTCAGGAAGCTGAGGCACGAGAATTGCTTGAACCCAGGAGGCAGAGGTTGTAGTGAGCCAAGATCACGCCACTGCACTGCAGCCTGTGCAACAGAGATAGACTCTGTCTATAAATAAATAAATACCCAGAAGTTCCAGACCAGCCTGAGCAACAGTGAGCCCTCATCTCCACAAAAAAAAAAAAAAAATAGCTGGGTGTGGTGGCATGGGCCTGTACTCTCAGCTACTCAGGAGGCTGAGGTGGGAGGATGGCTTGAGCCCAGGAGAAGGCTGAAGTGAGCTGAGATTACACCACTGCACTCTAGCCTGGGCGACAGAGCTAGCCTGTCTCAAAAACAAAGGAAACCAGTGAAAATTGCAACGCAAATGCTTGAAAATATCCTCTCATTTGTTCTAAGAGGGCAGGCTGGGCTGTGATCCCAGGGTGTGCTCACCATGGTTCGGCCTCCTGTTGTGCCCTCACTTTGCAGAGCCCCATTCTAAGGCAGCAGTCAGCAAGCTCTTCTGTAAAGGTCCAGGTAGTAAATATTCTAGGCTTTGTAGAGCACATGGTCTCTGTCACAACTATGTCATCAACTCTGCCCGTGCAAGAGCAGCCACATAAACATCCTAACAAATGAGCACCATGGCTGTGTTCCAGTAATATTTATTTATGGACTCTGAAGTCTGAGTTTCACATAATTTTCACGTCACAAAATATTATTAATTTCTTGCGAAAAAGGATTCTCCCGGCTGAGCTAAAACAGGTCAGGTCCAGGGGTAAGAAAAGGTAGTTCCCGGCCGGGCGCAGTGGCTCCACGCCTGTAATCCCAGCACTTTGGGAGGCTGAGGCGGGCAGATCACGAGGTCAGGAGATCGAGACCATCCTGGCTGACACGGTGAAACCCCGTCTCTACTAAAAATACAAAAAATTTGCCTGGCATGGTGGCGGGTGCCAGTAGTTCCACATACTTGGGAGGCTGAGGCAGGAGAACGGTGTGAACCCGGGAGACGGAGCTTGCAGTGAGCCGAGATTGAGCCACTGCACTCCAACCTGGGCAACAGAGCCAGACTCTGTCTCAAAAAAAAAAAAAAAAGAAATGTTAGTTCCCATCCAGCCTTTAGTCCTTGAAAAAGGATCTACTCAGGCTGGGTGCGGTGGCTCACACCTGTAATCCCAGCACTTTGGGAGGCCCAGGCGGGCGGATCACATAAGGTCAGGAGTTCAAGACCAGCCTGGCCAACACGGGGAAACCCCGTCTCTACTAAAAATACAAAAATTAGCCGGGCGCGGTAGCGGGCGCCTGTAATTCCAGCTATTTAGGAGGCTGAGGCAGGGGAATCGCTTGAACCCGGGAGGCGGAGGTTGCAGTGAGCCAAGATCATGCCACCGCATTCCAGCCTGGGCGACGGAGTGAGATTCCGTCTCAGAAAAAAAGAAAGAAAAAGGCTCTACTCCAAACTCTTGCAGTGTTACTTTTATAATTTAGAACCACAAATAAATGAAGGGGTAGAGAATCAGTTTGCTGCTCTCCTTCCCCGATGGACTGGGGTACTTCAAGAATCTTGAGGACCAGACTTAGGATATACGTCCTAAACCCTCATCTTACAAATCAAAAACACTGTGACACTGGGGCCCAAAACGAGAAAATGACTTTGCCAAGGTAAGTGGCAGGGCTGGTACAGGAATTCGGGTCCACTCCCTCTCAGCTCTGAGGATTCCTTATTCTCAAAGGTAGCTTCTGTTAAAGGCGGAACATCAGGAGTGAGGGGCTCAATCTTCCAGCCACGGAGGTAGGTGAACAAGTTACCCCTTAGCACTGGAATAATTACAGACCCGGACTTCAGCCTGTGCCTAGGTCCGGCTCAGGTGACCAAAGAACCGTTCCAGGCGCCCGAGGGGTGATCCCTGACTCCTCTGCTGGGTGCTCGTGCCAGCTAACAATGGGTGAAAATTGGGGCGAGGAGCTCAAGCTGCTTTCTGCGCCCTCTGAAGAGCTTTTGTGCCTTTATAACCACCACGTTGGAAGGAAGAGCGCGGAGAAAAGTGCCTACTTTCTAAAAGAGAAAATTGAGGCCGAGCAAGGGGGTCGCGACAGTGCGAAGCGAGATAGCAGCGGAGCCAGCATTCGAACCCAGGTCCCTGAACTCCCAGCCCGGGATCTTTCTCACCCCTAACCACAGTGGGACGAAGTGGGGCCGGGATCTCCGGAACCCGCCTCTCGCTACCAGGCGCCGGACCTGCAGCTCCCGAGGTTCTTAGGAGATGCAGAAGACACTGCCCGGAATGCCTACAGCGGGCTGGCGCCGGCTCGCCTTCTTATAGGCTCGCAGCACTTCCAGTCGCGCGCGAGGCCTCCTGGGAAGTGAAGTCCAGAAGCCCGGGTTGGCCGGCTCCCAGCGCGCCAAGGTGCTAGCCCCCTAACTCCCGTTCCTAGTCGGCGTTTCTTCCCCAGGTCCGAAGTCAGGGTCCAGGACTGCTGTGATTCATCAGCTTCGCCTCTCATCCCCCATCTAGAGGGGACGGAAATGCTCAGGTGAACGCGAAGCCTCCCACTACCAGCCGGCCCTAAGCAAGGACATGCGCAGTGTGGGCGGGAGCCCTAAGTCAGCTAGCGGCGAAGCTGGGAGGGCCCGGAGCAGGCCGCGCCCCGAACGGCGAAGGCTCCAACATGGCGGCCGGACTGGCCATTGAGCGGGAAGAGAAAGCCGGGGACTAGCAGGCAGCACGGCGCAGACGGGGCCCGCGTCCTCCCTTTACTTCCGGAATTTAAAGCCATTTTCCGGAAGCCGGGACGGTGTCCCCATGACAACCGACGTTGGCGTTTGGAGGTGAGAGTGATTGACGAGAAGTGGGTTAAGAGACCAGAAGTCAGAATTTTTGGTGCTGTTGTTTTGGGCTTGGGTTTTATGCTTTGTTGTTGTTTGCCAAGGAAGCCTTGTTTTTAAATGGATTGGGAGGCGTGAAGAATACTGCCCTAGGTACAAAGGGAAGGCGGCAGGTAGCGGTGGACGAATTAAAGAGCTTCATGAGCTTGCGAATCCCCACTGCCCTAAACTGGAGGGGATCGTCGTACGTAGAGACAGCCATGGGCGTTTCTGCATAACGGATCCTCAAAACAGCCCTGGATGGTGGCCTGTGAGTAGTGATTAAGAGCACGGATTTGGCGTCGCAGTTACGAAGCCTGGTTCTGCTGACTTGAGACCTGGAGGAATGCCTTGAACTCTGACTCCTGTGTCCTTTCCTGTAGAATGGGAATAATTCCCACCTTGCAGAGTTGTAGGGAGGATTAAAGGAAATGATCTTGGTTGACAAGTTTATCGTGGTGTGGGTACCTAGGTAGTAGCTATCAGTATTATTTAATGCGGCTGGGCGCGGTGGCTCACGCCTGTAATCCCAGTACTTTGGGAGGCCGAGGCGGGCGGATCACCAGGTCAGGAGATCAAGACCATCCTGGCTAACATGGTGAAACCCCGTCTTTACTAAAAATACAAAAAATTAGCCAGGCGTGGTGGCACGCGCCTGTAGTCCCAGGTACACGGGAGGCTGAGGCAGGAGAATCGCTTGAACCCGAGAGATGGAGGTTGCAGTGAGCCGAGATCATGCCGCTGCACTCCAGCCTGGCAACAGAGCAAGACTCTCTCTCTCTCCCCCCACCCCCATATATATATATGTGTATATATATTCTCTCTCCATATATATATGTGTGGGTGTGTATATATATTCATTTTATATATATATATATATAAAATGAATGAGGAAACCGCGTACATACGTCCAGTAAGGTGGGACTTCACCAGCTGAGGTGGAGGAGGTGCCTTAACCCTCTGGAGCCTCTGTGTAAAATGGGGATAATATACATTATAATGGCTACTTCTCAAGATGGTTGTAGGATTAAGTAAGGTTAGAAATATGAAAAGAGCTTATACATTGCAAAACATTTTACCGATGCTAATTTAATCGCTAATACTCAAAGCATTTTGAAATTTCTTTATAGATTTGGCACAGCAGCAGGGTCATAGGACACCCCCAGAGCAACCTGTGGGTCTTGGAATAGTTGAAAAGAAACAACTGCCACTGTGTTGCTACCATAACCCTAAAGATAAAGCCTTCCGGGAGACCCCTATTTCCTCTCTGCTTTTTCTGCCTACCGCACTTCACACAGGCACTTCACACTTCTGTGCTGGCATTTTTCCTGCCTAGTTAAGTATCGGTCTATTAGTTCTGTAAGAGACAGCTTAAGTCTAGTAGTTAAGAGCACAGGCTGTGGACCCAGGCAGCCTGCATCCGAATACCATCTCTGCTACTTACTAACGATGTGACCTTGGACAAATTATTTTACCTCTCTTGGCCTCAGTTTTCTCATCTGTAAAATGGAGAAAGTAATAATGTATTATATAATCTACCTTGTGAGGTTTAAATAATGTTAGTGCTTGTAGAACACCCCCTGGCACATTGTAAGCAATGTGTAAGGATTTGCTGCCATTTTTGTTACCACTGCTACTACATGACCAGGCAGTCATTCTTCTCTGTAGGTTCCTTTGGTTAGAGACAGCTCTGCATTTAGAAGGTTCCAGGCATGGAGAAAAGTTGGTGAAGGTCCTAGAATAAATGACTTCTTGGGGATTTTTGGCTGTTGGTTTTTTCACTAAAGTATCCCATGCGACTGGAGTGGTACCTGGCACACAGTAGGTCCTCAGTAAATGTTTATGGTATTAATACATTTCTAACCTTGCTTATTTTTTCACCCCAACAGGTGCTTGCCTTAGAGCAAGGGAAACAGCTCCTGATTCAAAGGAACTAGAAGCATCTCCCTTAGTGGTAGGGAGAGAGCCAGGAGCTGTTTTCTGGGGAACTGTGGGATGTGCCCTTGGGGGCCCAAGAAAACAGAAGGAAGATGCTCCAGACCAGTAACTACAGCCTGGTGCTCTCTCTGCAGTTCCTGCTGCTGTCCTATGACCTCTTTGTCAATTCCTTCTCAGAACTGCTCCGAAAGGCTCCTGTCATCCAGCTTGTGCTCTTCATGTGCGTGCAGTAAGGCACTCTGGAAAGCTGAACCCAAGCAATTCAAAGGCCCTGACAGTGGTGATTTAGTGTCTTAAAGTTATTAGTAGGCTGGGTACAGTGGCTCACACCCTTAATCCCAGGACTTTGGGAGACCAAGGCAGAAGGATCTTTTGAGGCTAGGAGTTTAAGGACCAGCCTGGGCAACATAGCAAGACCCTGTCCCTACCTAATAAAAATTTTCAAAATTAGCTAGGCGTGGTGCCACACACCTGTAATCCCAGTGATTCAGGATGCTGAGGTAGAAGGATTACTTAAGCCCAGGAGTTCAAGGCTACAGTGAGCCATGATCATGCCACTGTACTCCAACCAGGTGACAAAGACCCTATCTCAAAAAAAAAAAAAAAAAAAAAGCAGGCACGGTGGCTCATACTTGTAATCCCAACACTTTGGGAGGCCAAGGTGGGCAGATCACCCGAGGTCAGGAATTCGAGATCAGCCTGACCAACATGGAGAAACCCCATCTCTACTAAAAATACAAAAATTAGATGGGCATGGTGTCACATGCCTGTAATTCTAGCTACTTGGGAGGCTGAGGCAGGAGAATTGCTTGAACCCGGGAGGCAGAGGTTGCAGTGAGCCATGATCATGCCACTGTACTCCAGCCTGGGCAACAGAACAAGACTTCATCTCCAAAAACAAAAAAAAATATTAAGAGTGTCAGATAGCCTGGGCAACATAGTGAGGCCTTGTTTCTACTAAAAAATAGGTTTTTTTTTTTTTTTTTTTTTTTTGAGATGGAGTCTAGCTCTGTCACCAGGCTGGAGTGCAGTGGCATGGCACAATCTCAGCTCACTGCAACCTCCGCCCCCTGGGTTCAAGCAGTTCTGCCTCAGCTTCCCTAGTAGCTGGGATTATAGGCGTGCACTACCACACCCCGCTAATTTACCACACCCAGCTAATTTTTCTATTTTTAGTAGAGATGGGGTTTTGCCATGTTGGCCAGGCTGGTCTCAAACTCTTGACCTCAAGTGATCCACCCACCTCAGCCTTCCAAAGTGCTGGAATTACAGGCATGAGCTAATATTTTTTTAATTAGCTGAGTATAGTGGCACACACCTGTGGTCCCAGCTACTCAGGAGGGTGAGGCGGGAGGATCACTTGAGCCCAGGAAGTCGCTGCAGTGAGCTGTGATCATACCACTGCACTCCAGTCTGGGCAACAGAATGAGACCCTGTCTCGAAAAAGAAGAGCTCAGAGAATCTTCTATAGGACTATGTCTGGAAGAAATTTTAAAAATAAAGAGAGTATCAGAGCAGGAAAGCCTTGACTATGGAGTGCGATCTAACTGATGGGGCCAGTGGGTAATTGTAGGTAATTTTAGCTTCCTGTCATTCAGGTCCCAAAACCCATGTTATCTCTGTGAGGGTTTAAGATGTCAGATGCCTATCTCACAGGAAAGGACAGGCCTCGTGGTGTCCCTCAGGACATAGTACCTGCTCTTGGGTCCTCACACAGGCCTCCATTGGTTGTACTTTTTTTATGTCTACAGCATCCAGGATATTGCAGTCCTCTTCAACATCATCATCATTTTCCTCATGTTCTTCAACACCTTCGTCTTCCAGGCTGGCCTGGTCAACCTCCTATTCCATAAGTTCAAAGGGACCATCATCCTGACAGCTGTGTACTTTGCCCTCAGCATCTCCCTTCATGTCTGGGTCATGGTAAGAGTGGAAGTCTGGATTCTTTTTTTAATTTTTATTTTAAATAGAGATGGGGTCTTACTATGTTACCAAGGCTGGTCTCGAACTCCTGAGCTCAAGCGATTCTCCTGCTTCTGCCTCCCAAAGTGCTGGAATTACAGGCGTGAGTCACTGTGCCCAGCCTGAACTCTGAATTCCTGAATCCCTAAAGGGCTAGGGATAACTTTTCTTTCCTTTTTTTTTTTTTTTTTTTTTGAGACAGAGTTGCGCTCTGTCGCCACGCTGGAGTGCAGTGGCACAATCTCAGCTCACTGCAACCTCTGCTTCCCAGGTTCAAGCAATTCTCCTGCCTCAGCCTCCTGAGTACCCGGGATTATAGGCACACGCCACCATGCCCAGCTAATTTTTGTATTTTTAGTAGAGACAGGGTTTCACCATGTTGGCCAGGATGGTCTCAATCTCTTGACCTCGTGATCCTCCCGCCTCGGCCTCTGAAAGGGCTGGGATTACAGGCATGAGCCACCGCACCCGGCCACTGGGATATCTTTTCTCTGGGAACTCAGCTTCATTCTTTGACATCTCAGGCAATCCTTCATAGAGA